CGGGGAGTGGGCTTCTCTATGTTTTCTCTTTCCATGCTCACTGTCATACCTGTAGGTTTCAAGATTAGGTCCAAGGAAAACACTTCTGTGGGATGAAATAAGTGGCCTCAGAGGCTTCAGGCAGCAGCTTATGGAGCAGTTCAGGAACAGTCAGCACACTGTCATGCTGAGCTAAGAATAAAAAGTGATCTGGGCTCAGCTGCCTTCTGTCCTCTGGTGAAGAAGAGACTGTTACAGAGAGCATAGTGACAATGATTCTTAATACGTGGATCTCGGGAGTTCTTTTCTCCCTCTGGGTCCTTTTTAACATGGCACATAGCTGTCATCCTGGGGTCACTCTTCTCCAGCGTCTTCTGTTTTGTGAGGGAATACCTGTCTTCCTGCGTTGGTTTATTCTCCTGTTTTGGTCATGCTCATCTTTTGAGCAATGTGGAATAAAAGTATTTGAAACTTATTTATCTGTGTTTATTCTACTTTCTTGAATGGGAGTGGAAGAGTGAATGGTAGGGAAGGTTACAGTATTCTAGGCTGGAAATTATTTTTCTTCAGAATTTTGCAAGTATTTTTTCTATTCTCTTTGAAGCCTGAGATCCTTCTCATTCCTGATTCTTTGTATGTATTTTCTCTCTGAAAGCTTGTAGAATCTTCTTTTTCTCCCCATTACCCTAAAATTTAACATGATATGCCTTGATGTGGGTATAGTTTCATCTGCTATTTCAAGTACTGCATGAGCTCTATCATTCTGGATACCTGTCCTTTAGTTCTTTAAACGTTCACTTCACTGCTCATTTCCTCCACTCTGTTTTCTTCCTAGAACTTATATTTGGATACTGAGAACTTGTACTGGTTCTGTAGTTCTTTCTCTTTTATTCATTTTTTTTTCTTTTAACACTTTCTAAGAGATTTTCTCAGCTTCTCTTCCACCCCTACTGTAAACTGTTTCATTTCTGAGGTCATGTTTTAATTTCTAAGAACTCTGGTTCTCTTTTCCTTTTATAGCATTCTTTCTTTTTTTAGTGAGTGCAGTATCTTATCTACCTGAGGATATTCGTAACTTTTTTTAAAAGGGTTCTTTTCTCTGCTTAGCTTCTAGTCCTATCTAATAGAAATATAATGTGAACCCCATATATAATGTTAAATTTTCTAGCACCCGTGTAAAGAGAAGAAATGGATAAAGTTCATTTTAATATTTTATTTAATATACTGAAATTATCTGAACATCTAATCAATATTTAATTATTAATGAAATATTTTACTTTTTGGTTATTGTTGTCATGGAATCTTTAAAATCTGGTATTTTTCATTTAAAGCACATGTCACTTTCAACCAGCCACATATCCAGTGCTTGGGTAGCTGTGTGTGGCTAGTGGTCACCATATTGACAGCACAGTTCTAGACCTTCAAGTTGGTTCTTTTCCTATATCTTTTGATTTGTCTTCTGTAGTTGTTTGCTTAAAATGAAAGAGTTGGGAATTAAATTGTCTTTGGAAGTTCTTGAATACATGAAATCTTCGAAGACTTTGAACTTTACTATAGTGTGATCTAGGTGGGCTGTTTAAGAAACACCTGATGTCTGCATCTCTAGGTCTCTTTTCTTGGGCTGGTCTGATAGCCCAGTATGCATGCTAAATGCAGAGATCCTAGAGCCTTCTTACTCCACTTGGCTCCCAGAGTTCTGGCACCACACCTCTAGGCAGTGAAAGACCTTTCTCTGGGGTATCAGGTAGCTGTCCACCCATTTCTTGTGCTTGTCATTGCTCATCCAGAGAATCGTCAGTTTAACACTGCCCGTAAGAGGAATCCTCAGGCTTCAGGGGAAGAGGCTGCTCAGGAGCAAGGAGTAGAAACAAGGATCTAGAGATCTAATGCTTCTTGGGTAGCCTATCTTCCCCTAGGATTCAGAGGACCTTGTGCTGACAGCCCCCAAGTCTCCTTAGGATCCTGTAAGCCATACTGTGTCTCAGTTTGGAATTGCACCTTTCTCAGGCCTGCTAAGTCAGCAGTTGGTCATCTGCTCTTCAGCTTGTGAAATGTTGCTTTTGTCTCCATTCCTATTCTGTTGGTTCTATGTTCTTAACTGTATTTCATGGAGTTGCAGAAGAAAAGAAATTAGGTACAAATGTTAGACCTGTCATGTTAGCCCAGGAAACTATTGATATCTCTTTAATCACATTGCACAGGATTCTCAGCTGAGAAATGGAATCAGAGTACCTTTGATTGGCTGTAACCTCACAGTGAACCATCCTTTATCTCTTCTAGCCAGTCAGGAAAAGGAAATGAATGGGGCCAATACTTTCAGTTCTCATTCTGTGTCAGGAATACTATGGGACCAAGACTTTAGTGTGGGAAGACATGCTTGATTCTATAGTATTAGAGAATAGCCTTCATTTTACTCAGGTACCATGTGGGAAATCTGAAGCTCCAGGAGGCTAAGTTACCTTCTTCAGATCTCAGAGTGGTAGAGGCAGGAATTGATCTCACAGCGTCTCCTCTCTGGGACCAGCAGGGGAAACTGAATAAGCAGATAGTCTAGGACTTCAGCCAGCCAGAGGTGTGCTCTTCTCTACCACTGAGCAGTATAAATATTGAAATAAGTTATGCCAGTTAGATCAAGGTGGCATACTCTTTGATAGTTTGAGGAACTTTTTCTGTTGACTTATGCCAATTCAAGTTGTTTTTAAAAATTAAGTAAATAAAATGTTGACAGTTTCCTTCTTATAAGCCATATTCTGTAATGCTGCTTCAGTCTGATATAAGTAAAACACAAGGACCCTAAAGCATTTTGTTCTATTTCCCTTATACCAATAAAATTTGGAACATAAGCTTTTTCTAATTAATTTGACTTATTTTGTGTATCATCCTGGGTTTTGTTCAGTAAAACAGTTGAAGATCATGCTCAGTTTGAGGCAGTTATGAATGTAAGATTTAGAATTTTACTGATTATCAGTCAACTCATTTTTACAATAGATATGATTTATGGTGATTATGTTACATTGTTTTTATAGATCACATCTGTAGCAAAGATATGTACATTTCTAAACATGGATTGACCTAAGTCTTGTTCATCTAAGGGGACGTGCCAAACCATTCAGTAGCTATTTAGTAGATATCAACAGGAGAAAAAAGGACAGAGGGATATTTCTAATGTAATTTTATTTCTTTAGCTTCCAGAACCATTTATTTTATTCCGATTGTACAAGGAATTTATAGACCTTGCCAAAGAGATCCGACGAGTAAATGAAGAACAAGAGACAAAAAAGGATACTCCAGAGGACAAAAAATGGCCGAGTACGTGTATAGAAATAAACCGAATTCTTATAAAAAGCAAAGACCTTCTAAGACAATTGCCAGCATCAAATTTTAACAGTCTTCATTACCTCATAGTACATCTTAAGCGGTAAGAACTTCTTATAAGACAAGCATCCATTAGTGGATGGATAACTGATCGGTTTAACTGTTTTTGTTTTTTAAAAAATTGTGGTAAAATACACATCACAGATTTACCATCTTAATCATTTTAAAGTGTATAGCTCGAGTATTTACAGTGTTGTGCTATTGTTTTTAAAATGAGCATTTCATTTCTAACGTGTGTTAGGGAAAGGGAGCCATTGAACATATGTTCATGCAGCCAACGTCTTTCCCTCAGATGCCCCTTGTGTGCCAGGCTCTGGCTGGTGAAACAAGAATGAAAACATAAGGTTTCTGTCATCTGTTGTGTTTGTCAGCTTAGGGGTAGACCTGCAAACATGTACAGTGCAGCATCATGCTAATTCTAATGGAGCTCTGCATAGCATGCACGGGAAAAAGGGGAAGGGGAACCATGAATCAGAGGAGGTAGTCCTGAGCCAAACTTGAAGAACTAAATAGTAGTTTGGTGGCAGAGAACGTGCAGAAGAACATTCAGGGCAGCAGTAACAGATACAGAGACATAAGAATCATTTTGCATTAGGGAAGTACAGATAATTTGGCTAGGCTAAGATATCAAGCAGTAG